AGTTCACAAACCTACATACAGAGGTTGGTTACTCAGTAAGAGATAAGCCTTTTCTGACCATATCCCAGAAAGAGATCTTCATATACGATATCCGAATAAGTTCCCCAGGGAATGCGAACCTCATCGCCCCAGTCCCGGCTCCGAAGCGGTACGTCATCCCGAATGCGCCGAACACGATCGATGATGTACAGTCAATATCATCATGGCAAGAGCTATACAAGGAGCGTCGAAATTGGGCGATGCATCTGGTTGAGGACTGCAGACAAATGAACACAACAACCCTGGCGCGGTACAGCGAGATAGATGTTATCATCAAGTGCTTGGATGCAGCTGTTGCGAACCTCGAAATCAGCATCAAGACCATAGAGCCCAAATACGACGACCTGAAGAAATGGGTAACGCCCGCACTGGAAGAGCACGGAACTCTGGTTGAAAAGTGGGAGCAATATCTCGATCTCGCCAGAAATACCCCAATCTCACCTTCAATGGTCAAGTTTATGACTCGACAAGAGACCAAGAAGTCGAAACCAACTTTGGAAGACCTCATCGAACTCGACACCGCAAAGAAAGCGGGAAAACTTGCCCCAACAGCCCACCGAAGGTTCAGCGATAAGGCCAATCAACTCAACAACACGGCATCTCAAATGTACAGAAGCTTAGAATCGCTGATTGCCGACTTCGAGAAGCTCATGAGCCGCTCTGCTCTCAGCCATAGCACGGATTCCGCACAACTCCTTGAAGATATCGAGGCAGTGGCGAAGCAGATGGAGTCCGACTATCGGGCAGCACTTGGATATGGCAATACGCAACGAGATGTAGCGCAAGCTTCCAAGACGGCTTCAGTACACACCGAGCATTTGGTACCAACGCTGAGAAAGCGAGTCAAAGAGATGGATGAGCTACTTCACTATGCCACAGACGCGCGAAATTCTATTGCTTCGGAATCAGCGAAATTCATGCGTTACGTTACGGAAATAACATCCCTTCATAATAACGTCAAAAGCCAAATCAACGTACTGAATCAGTCGGTAGATGACATGACGACATTCGATTACCTCCGTCTTATTCACCAGCTGCCTTATATGTACGCAGCTTTTGTCTCGGAAGCAGTTCGACGGCGCGAATGGGTTGATAAAGTCAAGACGGACTCGTCTACCTTAGCAAACGAAATGGCATTGTTTCAGGATGAAGAGTCAAAGCGACGGCGAAAGTGGCAAAAAATGATTGGTAGCATGTATGGTCCAGATCTGGACACAAATGTCATGGGCCTGGAAGTCAACTTGCTTGGAGAAGACAAACCATGGCCAGCTTTGACCAAAGACGACTTAACAGATTTCGTCCAGTTGTTGCAAGAGCAGCCAGTTGACCAGAGTGTATTGGATGATGTGTTGAAGCTCGTACAAGAGCTTGACAATCCAACAAAGCAGCAATCCAAACGACTCAAGGCGTTCAAGAACGGAAGTATTCATGAGGTGGCTCTTGGCAGGAGTGGTCTCATGATTCGAGGCGATGACGATTTACTGCAATCACTCCAGGAGGATAAAGGTAAATTAGAAAACAAACTAAAGACAGCCGAGAGCCGAGTCCGCCGTCTGGAGGATTTGCTTCATCGACAGAGCCAAGCCAGCCGTCCTGGAAATCTATTCCAGCCTCAGGGCCCCCAGCAACGCGAGAGAGGCAACTCTGGGTCATCCATCAGATCGAGCCGATTCGATGACCGTAGACGCTCTTCGGACGGCATCGACCCCTTGATGCGACGTATCACTCAGCTGGAAAACGAACTGCGAGAAGAGAAACAGCGGTCTAGTCGACTCCAGCAAGAACTCACAGCGCAATCGGGTCATCATGAGAACATCAAAGGTCAGCACGAAGACTTGAAGGGCCAGCATGAAGACTTGAAAGGTCAGATTGCGGAAGTTAACACTACCAAACAAGATCTACTCGAAAACATGGAGGCCCTCGAGCGCGAATTCGTCGAAGAGCGCAAGAGCCTAGAGAATGAGATCAAGACTCTCAGAGCACGACTGGAGGATACTGAGGACGAAATTGAGCAGTTCGACGAATCAAGACAGCACGAGAAAGCCGGATATGTTGTACGAGTGGAAGAACTGGAGGCTGAGCTGGAGCAAATCAACAAGCAGCGACAAGATGATGCCCTCAAAGCGCAAGGGCAAGTCGAGTTCCTCCGCAAGGAAACCCGAATTCAAAGAGAACAACAAGAAGCCCTTGAACAACAAGTTCAGTCTGTACAAGAGGAAACCCAGGAGGTCTCAAGAAAGTTGAGTGTTGCTGAGGAGACTCTGGATGATCATTGGCAGGCCTTGAAAAGACTGTTTACTGAGCTCCTGCCCGACGCTGCTGTCCCAGACAACTTTGTAGATCTTTCATATTTGCTACTTACGCAAGCCGGAACGCTCGTTGAGAAGTCCCGAAACTCGGAGGCAGACATTGATTTGCTAAAAACTCAGGTTGAACACTTCACGACAACCATTGCGGAACTTCGGGAACAGCTTGCTGAGAAGGACACTAAACTGTCCGAAGATGAAACGACAGCGGCTCATTTGCGCGAGAACTTAGCCGAGGAGAAAGCAAAGGTGACCGCACTTGAACAAGAGCTCGCAGATGGTAGAGAGCAACTTACCGAGTTACGTGCCAAGCTCAGTGATGGCGAAACTGGGCCCGAAGCTCTGCAGACAAGGCTCGAAGAGGAAGAGAAGAAGGTCATGGCCTTAACCGAAGAAGTGGCCTCCAAACAGTCCCAAGTCGGTGGTCTGGAGGAAGAGCTTCGCATGTTCCAAGAGAAAGCCGAGTCCCTCCAGGGCAAGATGTCTAACCTGAACAGCCAGTATGAGCACCGAGACGAGAAGACTAAGGATCTTACACAGCGCCTCTACTCTCAAAATGATCGTATGTGTCGGCTGTTGGAGCGTGTAGGATTTGCCATTACCAAGAAAGATGGGGATATGACCGTTACTAAGATCCCACGATCCGAAAGAAATGCCCAGAACCCCAACGACTCCTCTGATCCTGGTCCGTCTCTACGCAAGTCAGGAACTCTAAGTCGTGTCTTGGGCGATAGCGCCGATCTCGAACTCCTATACTGGCTTAACAACTCAGACTTGCAGGCCGAAAATGAGAAGTACGAAGCTTTCATGAATAAGATTGGCAAATTTGACATGGAGCTTTTCTCCGAGACCGTATATCGCAGGATTAAGGAAGTGGAGCACATGGCTCGCAAGTGGCAGAGGGAAGCCCGATCCTACAAGGAGAAAGCACACATTCTGCAGAAGGATTCGCACGAGAAGATTGCGTTCAAGCACTTTAAGGAGGGCGATCTGGCTTTATTTCTCCCTACACGCAATCAGCAAGCCGGTGCGTGGGCCGCTTTCAACGTGGGCTTCCCGCATTACTTCCTGCGCGAGCAAGATGCTCATCGCTTGCGTCACCGAGAATGGCTTGTTGCCCGCATTTCACGGATCCAAGAGCGTGTCGTCGACCTTTCGAAGAGTCTCCAGCCGAGCACCGAGACAGATTCGATCAACGATGAGGAGAACGATAACCCCTTTCAGCTGTCGGATGGTTTGCGATGGTATCTGATCGATGCTTTCGAAGACAAACCTGGCGCCCCCTCAACGCCTGGAATGGGCAAGTCAACTGTTGCGGCTAATACCGTGGAAGCGACAGCCAACATTCACACTCATGCTACGGGTGGAAAGGGTAAGAGTCGGGATAGCGTCACTAGTATTGAAGGTATTAACAAGACTTTGTCCAAGAGTCTTGAGAGTAGGCGTAGCAGTACCGGCTCCAAGAAAGCCCTGCCGTTTCAGCTTGGGGGCACGGCTTTGTTGAAGAATAGTGCTTTGGCTAGCGAGACCAACTCACTCCGAGCGCATCCCACCGACACACCCTCCGACACAAGCCCCACACAGGGAGGGCTTCTCACGGCAGCCAACGCAAGCCTAGCACAGAAAACTCTGGCAGAAGGGCAAAAGAGTGAGCAAACGGAGAGTCCGAGCAAGTCTCCTTCTGGCGAGTCATCAAACCAAGGCGGCAGCGCCAAAGCGGACGAGGTACGAAACGTCGACACCCTTCTTGGACCATGACGATGGGTTGCTGACGGCCAGTTAGCAGCCTCGGACTGCTCTGCAACGGGAGGATTCGGCTGAAAGTCCGACGAAAAAGTCGGTCGTTTGGGATTCTCTGTGGAGTGTTGACTATAATTATGAGAGTGCAGGCAGAAAGTAGTTCAAGTTGGTGACTCGTGTATCTGCTCTGACAGGGCCAGATTTTCTTACGTCTAGGAAGTTTTTACTATGGGAATGGATAGGTGTTATTACTTGTTTGGCGCACGAGCAGTATGTGTAAAGAAAGGGAATAGATTTCAGGAGCGTTCCGGATGGATAGCTAGGATGGGAAATGGATATTTGTTTACGGAATACAAGTTGAGACGAGAAGGAAGAGGCCAAGACTCCCTTCTAAGATAACTTTCAATTTACTGCATTAGAGTCATGCGTTTGTTACATAATGTGTCTAGGGGAGGCAAGGAAACTCAAGATAACTATCCTAAGTAATAAAAAAGACTGAGGTAAATTTAGTATAAATTCAATGTAACTTTAGTCAGCCTTAGGCCAGGTATTTTGGACACCACGCCTTAAGATCAGAAGTTTTCTTACTCCCAGAGGTGTATTTATGTTTTATCTGCGGTTGGCAAAAGGGGTTTATATTCAGGAGGCTACCTATCTTGCTGTATCAATTTATCTGCTCAAAAGCAACTACCTAGCCAACTACAGTCTGTTTAACAAATCCAAATCCAATAGCAAAAGGGGTTCGTCCGCAACAAGTGTGGGTTCTGGGCAAGGGTATCTGGGGAGGTATTGCTAGGCGTCAAGGCCTGATGGGGGAAACAAATGAGGCTATGAGATATATCCTTGAAGTCATCATTGGCGATCTTGGCCAGGCCGTCATCATCTTGGACGGCAAAAATGGAATCTTGAGAACCATTACAGCTCCGTCTCTGGCGCATACTGCATCACAAAATGGATCTGTCCGCCGGGCTGAAGACACTCCTTCAACCAATAGATATATGTTGGGAACCCAGCTAGTTCATCATCACCATTCTCATCGTCGCTTTCGTCGCTTTCGTTGCTGTCTTCAAAGTGGCTTTTGGCGACAGTGTTAGGCACATATTCCTGGTTTTCGAGTGTTTCAACCCAAAAGTCCTTGCCCATCTTACCGAAATTCTTTCTTGCGGGAAGTCCAAGAACAATAAGTGTCTTGAGCTTCAGATGCATTCCCATCTTAACACACAAGGACTTGAGTCCCGCGTTGGGGCCAGCGGTCCAAGGTCCTGAGAGATCAAGGCAAAGGCTCTTGAGGCCAGTCATGAGAGACCAGTTCAGATGAAGAAGAGCCAGACGATCCGCAATTCGTCTGCTAAATAAAGCGCGATTTAATTCGACCTGCATATTGGCATCGAGTCTATCAGACACTTGAGAGATGAGGTACTCATGCTCCTCAACCTCATCGAATACTTCGTCGTCCACCGTCCATGGAGAAGACCTAATCATGACATGGCCTCGTCGCTGACACTCGAGAAGATTGTCGTTTGCATGCAGCTTCTTGACATAGGCATTGCGGTTAGGACCGTCAATTCCACCATAAGCCTCAACAGCGAAGGGAAGGTCATTCATAATATCTCCGGTGAGAACAAGAAGATGTTCGGCTTCACGGTGAAATGCTTCGAGGTCCGGATGTCCGTTATTGTGTCGACTCCAGAGGGCCCGCATCGATTCAACAAGATCGGGATTGAGATATCTATCATAGATATGCAGTTGGTGAAGCACCCGATTCTTTTCGAGTGCTAGCTTCCAGCTCAAGTTTTCGGGCGTCAGGAAATCGATCTCACCGTCGGTGACAGGTGCCTCATGGATACATTTGTGTTGGAAGGGAATACTTTCGATCTGGCCCTGTCCAAACACACCATTACGATCCGGCTGACCCCGAGTGTAGATGACAGTGTAATAGTCACTGGAGACTTCACCGCAGACGGATTCACCTTGGGTGAGTAAGTGAACCTAGCACTCACTCTTTTGAGTGATCTCCGTAAGGATTTTCAAAGTGATCTCCTTGGGTAGTGTCGGCAGCTTTGGGATCCCGGGGGCATTCTGAGTGTTAGTCGGAGCACTCATGATTGTGTTTTGAAGGTGGTTGTGTTGATATATTGTGATAGGTGTCAAGTTCGTTTGAAGAAGAGACTGATAATGATGGTAAGGAAGGTTTGAGTTTGAAATTGGGATAGAGAACCGGCAAGGTCGGTATATGGTTTATACATGACTGTTCACGTGTTCATGGAGTTGTGGCAGTGTCATGTACTATGTTTCTGCCACTGTAATCGAAGAAGGGAAACAGTTCAACTGTTCGGTCCAGGTCAATTATGATTCAGTCAGTGGCACCAAGTAGAGGGTGGCAGAAAACTTCAGACTAAAGTCCTAAGTGACAAAGACTTAGACAATGTTATGATATTTTAGGGTAGTTTGTGATGAGCTTAGCTTGATCTTTGACCAGTTAATATTTTTCTCTCCCTAATGTAAGGTCTTAAGTCTTCTCACACCCAGAGGGCACCTTACGGTGTAAGTGAGGTTGTCGCAGATGCCAGCTTCTGATTGGTCTTTATGAAGTCGAGCTTATCTGGGGTCATGATGAAAGATAAGGCTTAAGTAAACCACCAAGTTAAGCTCCGCATTGTAAGTCTGCTCGGGGATTAACTTCTTCCCATATTTAACTATATAAGCTGAACCACAATTATCAATTGCCAGCCATGTCTTCAGAGATGCACCATAGTTTGCAGCGCTCATTACCTCCCGAACTCCTCTATCATGTCATAGAGGCTGTCTTGCCTTCGGATCCACTGGCATTAATCCCAGCATCGCATATTTCGACAAAGACATTACTTTCTCTGACACGGGTTTCGCGAGATACATACAAGTTAGCTAGTCGGCTGCTTCGAGAGCGATGCCTCTACATTGACACTAGTAGGCGTCTTGCGCAGCTGTTGCTCTGTCTTCCTCACTCTATGCCAAGTCTCCCACCTATACTGCCACTACGGGATATCACATCACTCTATCTAGCCCCATTTAAAGACAAACTAGACGACCAGCCCACAGCAGCTTGGGTGCGGGAGCTATTCTGCGAAATATGCGGTACACTGCGAAGGCTGGTTGTCGATATGCCATTCCAGAGTTTGGATCCACTGGATGATCATCTGAATGTCAGGAGGACCCTTCGCGAGGGTTTCGAGCGGCTGGATAAACTAGAGGAGTTTGTCTGCCTTGGTGATTACCCGGCACTGAGTCTTCAAGATGCTCCTACTGATGTCTGGGGTTTATGGCCGGATCTCAAACGCCTTACAATATTTGGTGCACCACTTGATAATCATTGGCTGTGGTGGTATATCGCGACGCAACAGCAGCTTGAGCATGTCATCCTCGCTCGATCAGTGAATGTCGAAGCAGCCAATATTAAGGAGGAGTATTTCCACAAACTACCACGAGATGATATGCGGTTGGACCGGGATATCAAGATTACCATTCTAGATGCAGCTTTTGTGTGGAGGGGTGTCAAGACATCACGTTGGAAGGAATTTGATCCAAAGGGACGGATGACAGTTGAGCTGTATGATGTGCCAACATCGTTCTATGGTGATGAGACACCCCGGGAGCTTGTGACGACGTGGGTGAGACGAGGTGCCTTGAACGGGAGTTTATGGGATTGGGAGGGTGAAGCTGTTAAAGAGACTGCGAACGATACTACTTGATGTGTTGTTATTCGATACCCAATTTTCTCATTGTCATATTGATGATATACGTCTTTATTTCCGTTCATTCTCATATTTAGCCGTGCTCGTAAACTGGATGTAGTATGAAACATCACCACTTGAGGGGATGAACACATCACAAGTTACAGAACACCCAAAAAGTATACATTTGACCTCGGATAGATAATCAAATCCAAACTCCAAGTCAAGTCCATTCAACTGAAAACCCCGCAATGTCCAAATCAATCGTGTACGGATACATCGGAAACGCAGCTCAAACATCCATCAGTTGTGAGGCTCCCGGGTAGCTTGTTCAATCTCAGGGTATCAAAAATGGTGGTCAGCAGCTCAAAAGATTGGGGGTTCAGAGCCAAATCCCGCCGAAAGCTGTCCCCAATGCCCCTGTCTAGCCTCTCCCCAGGCGGGGTTGTGGACATGTTCAGTGGGGTGTCTACCTTGTTCACCTGCCCAAATGGGGTAGAATTTTTTGAGGTGGAGCATGCTCCGGCTTCGCTTTCTTCCAGAAAACTCGCCATCGCATCGCCAAAAATCCCCGTGTTTCCCCCGGCCGTTGAGAGTCTGAGTTTGAGGTTAGCGGAAGTGGATTGTTTCTCCATAAACCTTCCTAACACCGAAGAGAACAGACCATCCATACCATACATACCATTCCATTTCTCGGTTTCTGTTACATACTTGCTTTCCGTGCGCTCTTTCATAGTCTCACGATCCGAAAACTCCAAATTTTGTTCCTCCACTGTCATGTCGCCCTGCGGCAAAAACTTAAACGCTACCACCGAGAGCTACTAAGTCCCCCCGATCAAGAAAGAGAAAAGCCTCTGTCGCGAAATCGCCATCCACACAAAGACATGCTCGCAAGCCACGCCCTGCTGTGACCGTTTGACCTGTCCGACACGAGCGTTTCCCTCAACGTTCCTCTTCCCCCGGATTTCGAATCCCGACCCTTCCGAACCCTTTGTAGGCCACCGTTGAAAATGCCCGAGAAATCGGCCTCAGTAGTGTCCTACGCTGCTGGTGCCTCTCTTGCTGCCGCAGCACTCATATATGTTTTCGCACCAAATTTCTCCATTGATCACGACGCCACGAGCTCCAAGAAAAAGTCTATAGTTGGTTTGAGAAATCAAGCCAATGACTGCTTCATCAACTCGGTTCTCCAAGCCCTTGCCGGCTTAGGAGAGTTGCGCATATATCTGATTCGCGAAACGCACCGCCGCCGCATCGAAGATCCCGCAGTATATGCTAGTCTTGTCCAGCCAGAGGGCAAGCAGATTGCCCAATGGAAGCTACAGGGCCTGCAAGAAGGACTTGTCACACAAGGACTGAAAGAGATGCTGGATGCGCTTAATGAGCGCCCCATTTACAAGAAGTCCATATCACCATTTCAGTTCGTCAAGGTTTTGGAGGCGGCATTCAAGCAAAGGATCAGTCGCCAACAACAAGATGCGCAAGAGTTTCTCCAAATCGTGGCCGAGCGCCTCAAAGACGAGTATCACTGCGGTCAACGAGCAAGACTACACATGCGGAGACGTGGTCTGTTTCCTACCCAAAGTACCCCGAGTGTCGAGAACGCGCCGGATGGTCAAGACAATGGTAAGGACGGCGACGAATCCTCACCAGAGCAGCAACCTACTACCAATGGTGACAACGACTCTGCTATCGAACCATCCGAGGAAACCGAGATTCCCCAGGTCAATGGCCAATTGCCGATAGAAATCGAGGAGGGCTTCCCAATGGAGGGAAAGTATGAGTCGCATCTTGAGTGTCAGACTTGTCGCTACAAGACTAAGCCCAGGGAGGAGACCTTCTGCACTATCACATTGGCCGTGCCGCAGGTCTCGGGCACGACATTGAATGCATGTTTCGATGGCATCTTCAAAACCGAGTATATCGATGACTTCAAATGTGAAATGTGTCGATTGATGCAGACAAAGGTGGATCTAGAGGCTGAAATGGCCAAGTCCACGTCTGAGAGTTTCAAGGCGCAAGCCCAGGAAAGCATCGACAAGCTCCAGCATGCTATTGACACAGATCCCGAGAATCCCCCAGAGGATGTCGAGCTTGGCGATATTCGCTTTGCGCCCAAGAGGAGGATCGCAAAGACCACTCGAATGTCCATATTCCCAAAGATATTGGCTATTCACCTCTCCCGTTCCATCTATGATGTGGGACAAATAACACAAAAGAACTCTGCCAAGGTGGTCTTTCCGGAACAGCTCCCTCTTGGTGGCTTGATGGATCAAAAGAGATATAAGCTGCTCGGGCTGGTCACTCACCGTGGCGGACACAACAGTGGTCATTACGAAGCATTTCGACGACAGAACGTTGCCGCGCCCTTCTCCAACCCGAATACCTTCCAACCATCAGAAGCTTTTAGCAAGACACCAACACCCATAGGTACCCCTATCATGGGAGGCAGACCGACACACAGTCCGGCAATCTCTACGCCTGACCTCCTTTCAGGCTCATCTGGTGACTCGACCCCTTCTCTAGAATCTCTGCCGGTTCCGCCTAGGAGTGTGCCTGCAGACCTACGGGGATCGGTGAGCCTACCAGCAATTGGCAAACAGAAGGATCCGGAAACCAGCAGTCTTCGTTCCGTGGCCGCCTCGACAAAGTCAGCCCTCTCTAAGCTTACATCGCCCAAGCAAACAAACAGCAGTTCATCGCCACCCAAGTCTGTGACATCAAACGTCGCAAAACGATCAAGGAAGCGAAAGTCAGCAACAGACAAATGGTGGCGCGTCAACGACGAAAAGGTCAAGGAGGCAAAGACCAGCGAGGTCTTGGGCATGCAGAGAGAGGTGTATCTGCTATTTTACGAGCTCGATAAGGATGCTTAGGATGCTGATGAGGCTTATCCAGCTCATGAAGTTGGAGGATCGTGTGTGATGCTCTGATGTGCCAGTTCTGTTACGCTTTACAGAGTTGATGAAGGGGGACTGTTTTTTCTTTTTATCCTAACTATTTGCATAGGGTTGGCGTTTCAAGTAAGACAGTTTCGGGATTTTCTATACAGTTAGATTCCACGGTGCTTTTATACAGTCTTTGAAAAATATCCAGCATTGGATACATGGGAGTTGGAGAGGAAAGAAGGTCATTTATAGATAGGGGCTATCATTCTTATCTATGGCAGTAGTGAATACACATATAACCGCCAACAACATATTTCACTATTAGAAGCAATGTGTGTTTACAATGCTGGACATGTTGCCTTTGATTTGAAGCCAACATTTGAATATTCTATTACCTCCGAGCTTCTAACCTCCCAATTAAATATGAGATCGTATCCAAAACGACATTACTTCCATTTCTAGCGACCAATCACAGTTCCACAACTAATGACTCAGCAGGGTATGCAACAGCTAACAGATTGGGGATGACGACTCACCAGCCTCGTTGATCGCGTTCCGCGTTGCACTACCTTTTATGCATTTTCTCTTTTCCAAGAGAGCCTTTTTCTTATAGGGCTGTCTCTGACTCGTTTAATAAGAGACTCACTATATTGTCCACTGAGGCTGAGCTTGACCGTCAGGCTGCGGGTCTTCACGACAAGGGAGCAACCATCGTCAATCCTTCGCTTGGGACCAAAAGCAGCAACTGGCAAATACCTCAAACCACATGAGAAGTCTAATATTCTGATTCATGATTTTTCTTTCTTTTCACCTTAGGATGTTAAGTCTGAGAGGGAATTGTATGTCGTTTCATTGGTTCCTGTTGAGATCAGGCCCTGTCAGACAAATCTCATAACTCAGACACCTTTTTCCACCTCTCATATAACATAATCATTTTAGCCGCGATGGTTGTTATTTCTCGACGCACGAGGCGTCGCCTACGGTCCATCCTTATTCTTATTCTCATCTCCACCTTCATCATCTATTCTATCCTTCCTCACGATTCAGCCATCCGTCTGGCTTTTGTCTTCAACATCTCGCGGTTCTTTAATTTTCTGCGTGGCGCAGCAACAAACCGAGACGCCTGGTTATGGAAATCGCCGCGGTACGCCGTAGATCTCAAGAACGAAGTGGGTTATCTCATCAAAACCGGGTATGGAACGCGTCACCGAGTGCCTGAGCAGCTCGCTGCCTTTGAGGCAACAGGGGGTTTCTTAGGAAAGGAAGGCGAGAGTTTCCTAGTTGTAGGAGATTGGACGACAGTGAATCATACAGATGCAAAGCTGATAGGCGTGACGGTGCACGATGCTATCAAGAGAGTTGTGGAGACCAAGATCAGAGGCAAGGTGGATGATTACCCCAGGCTGGTAAAGTATAGAAGACTCCAGGCAAAGCTCCAGGTAGGAGACGAAGAAGAAGCTCTGAAGATTGGGCAAAGTTATGGCTGGGAGCTTGATGCGCTAAAAGTTTGTCTCTCTAACAACTTCTCTCCACACCGCTAACAGAGGCAGTTTATCATGGGCATGGAGATGATATATCATGAGTTGCCAGGCAAAAAGTGGTACATTATCTTAGATGACGACACTTTCTTAATCCGACCTTCTCTGGAGCTACTCATGGGTCACATCGACTACCGCAAGCCCCAGTATGTTGGTAACGCAGTAGGCGATTACAAGGCGCGCTTCGGGCACGGAGGATCTGGAATCCTGATATCCGGAGAAGCGATGCGCCGTTTGTTCGAACAGCCGGGCATCGTACAAGAGGCATACGCCGAGTCCATGACCGAGACGTGGGGAGATCGACTGGTGGCGACGACGCTCCAGAAGCTAGGCATTTACATCGAAGAGTCATATAATCATCACTTCAACGGTGAGCCTCCGTCCATCACGCGCATCTGGGGCGATCGTTTCTGCTCGCCCCTACTTTCATTCCACGGCTTGCGGAAGCCCGGCGAGATGCGCCGTGTTGGGGAGACACTCGCAAAAACAGACAAGCCGGTGTTATGGCACGACGTTTGGCAGTTGTTTGGAGGCTCAGCTATGTCGGCGCTTGAGAGCCGCCCAACAGAACTAACGGCGGATCATGTGGGCAAGCCGGACGAGCACACCCGCTCATGGGGCGATGTGAGGAGTGCCAATGCTTGCCAAAAGCGATGTGAACAGAGCGGACGACGCTGCTTGGCATGGACATATGAGATGGAGATTGAAAGATGTCACACGAGTCCTTGGCTACTGTTGGGGGCGGACGGCGCTACAGGAAAGGCCTCGGGCGTAAACTGGCCCGAGGTGAAGCCATTGCTCAAAGGCTGCAGATAGATGAGGAGATATCCTCTGCCAGCGAGTAAGAGAGAACAAGCTCGTGTTGGCTAAGTCTGAGACCCTGCTTTGCTGTTCAAATTCGAGCTGCTTCTGAGGACTCGTCATCGGCGTGAGTTGTCTGGCGATACCATGTTATGCTCGGGGCTTTTCCCCGGCCGAATATGTATCATATCATGTACTATATCATGTATCATATGCACATTGGATGCCCCTTTAGCCTCAAGTGTCTGTTCCCACTCAGCGAACGGAGTAAGGAAGAAAGCAAGAGAAGCCTCATTGGAACGCCTCCGAGGACTAGCGACCCAAGAGCCGACCGCTATTGTATTGACAACCGGTGTGGAGAGGAAAAAATGGATCGTGGATACCACCACAGCTTCTCTGCACATGGAGGAAGGGAGGGGAGGGGAGGGGCTAGGGGCTGAGCCAACAAGCAGTGGTCAAGTTTAAGGTCAGCGTTCCAGGAATCCGGGAACTAATGGTAGGCGAGAGAGGGAGCAGGCAGGCGACTAGTAAGGCGAGATAGTGAGATGCGTTGGAAAGAAAAGCCGGTTGGCCAGACACCCTCCCTCAAACCCCCCTTGCTTGACGGTCTTCGCTCGCTTGCTTCCCGTCGCCGTCTGTCAGCCGGGATGTTTGCCTTGACAGAAAGTAGGGTGGGTGGGTGATTGCCATTGCCGTTGCCACTTTGTACCTGTAGGTATAGCACAGTGCAGGAGTAGACCAAGTCTGAGGAGGATCCGCTGCAGTTGGGTGGGATCCATGTGGGTGGGTGGTTCATTAGCGAACCATGGCTTGAAGCTGTGGAGAGGCTCGTCTCGCTTACGTCGGGACCTTGCCGTTGAGTGTAGGCATCTACCTATATTGTGTACGGGTACGGCCAGAAAGCTAAAACATGGCCGAACAAACTGACGGCTGAAGACACTTACTCGTCTTGTTGTGCTATGGTTCATGCATGAACAGGGCCTGTTTTAAGGTTTCTGGCTTCCAGTTTGGCATCTATCTGAGAGATGGAACAAAGACGAAGTGACACAGAGGGCAGGGGTTTCGGATTTGCTGAAATTGGAAGAGGGGGGAGATGATATTGGATTTCTTAAGATTGGGGAGTGTGGACAACGGCAAGATTTGCAATTCACCGTGACCTAGCCTGGCGGGTACCTGCTTGTGAGAAACGGCCGGCTAAAGGAAATAAAGGATACTTTTTGTAGGTAAAAATGACGACTGCGACGAGAGGCAATCTTGCAAAGGACGGAGTCGAAGTAGCTAGGTAGGTTTGAAGTTTGATATAATAAGAATTCAAATGCAAATCTAAATTCGAACCATGTAGTGGATAAGTTTATTTTGGACTCTATGACTCAGCCCAAAGAACAACAAATGGAAACTGAGATGGGAAAGTTAAGGTAGGGACGGCAGTTAGCTTTGATTTCTTCCACTTGCTGGCTGGGTTCGAGCCAGCGAGCACCGTCTGGTTGGTACCTGACATTAGTGGCTCTATAGAATGACTTGGAAGGAAAGTCAAGTCTCTTAGGGATGTGTTGTGGGGTCAGTGGCTTGCGGGGATTTGACTTTGACATTTTTGGAGAAATTCTCAGCGTTCGATTGATGGATGAGATACGGATACGCAGATCAGTGCAGTGGTTGGCTGCCTACCTATACAAGGAGAGAAGAGACAACATATGGATAACAACAGCTAGGCCCCAGATGACCTACACTGAGTATTGACTATCCAGGTCTAGCCCAAGCGTTAATCTCAGTCGGAACTTTTCAACTTGAGCTCATGCTCATCACAAAGAATAGGGGTTGAAGTTTACGACGGGACGAGAACCTTGCACCCGATAGGCCATGAGTGGCACACAATCAAGCCAGTTGCCGCCTTGTATCGAACTCAAGCCAGGATTGCCCAGGCCACATGCAGAGGACGGTACACGGACATAACTCTTGCATGCACCTGTGCAGATGAAGCCTTGAACTCTAATCGATGTTTGCATTGTACTTGATTATTTGTTAAAGTGAAGTTGCAGGGCAGACCGAAGAGAATAGAGCAGATTACAACTGCTTGCCATAGATAAGTCTTATCCCTTTCCTTAGATGCTGAGCCATATGCTGGCCAGCCTCGTTGAATTCCATTGTATAACAATACACATATGAGTACTCCGTATAAACACAGTCAACCAATACTTGCGGAATCTCTGCCAAGCCAACCTAATCATCCATGCTATACGGATACCTTGCCCGGTATTGCGCCTCATTAACAGGGTCAGGTATTCCACAGAGCTTGGGCATGGTAATAGCTTCTATAGTGCTTCCAGAATTGCTGGATACTAGGGGTCTAGTCAAGCGAGTAAAGGAGAAACGCGAAAAAGAAATTCTCGTTAGTAGGTAGTAGCCGACTTGACCGATGATGGGCATATGTATGTGATATTTCTATGTCCCTGAGATTCAGACTATGGAGTACCATGTCTGTGGGAAGTTTATACAAGGTAAAGCTTTGAAGCTCGAGATTGGCCAAGATCTGTCGTTCGACGGGCGATGCGCCGCTAATGCACCTGCTTCCAGCTCCAAAGAGGCTCTAGCTGGAGCTACTATTCTTCCGTTCAGCTGATTGCTCGATTGATGGGTTATGCTAAGAACTAAAAAGGGAATGATACAACCATAAACTTCAATTTTCCAAACTTTGAACGCCGACTTTTTGTTTGTTCGCATCCGATCTTGAGCGCCTCATCAAACAGCCTTTTCAATAAGCGAGGCTCTTTTGCATCTGCCTCATGCCTATCAGTGCGATCTGCCTCTGCCAACTGCTCTGCTGGGCGAATTTCTCGCCTCCATTTCGTCTACATACCCGTCCGTCTGTTGCATAAGTTCTACAAGTAAAGTAAATCAGGTCGCTCACTGGACCAAGTTCGCGCCGCGCTTGTTTGTCGAGTATCGATCATCCCGTATGGGCATCGGCCTACAAAGCCCGGCCCGTCTCCACTAGAACTTTTCAATTTACTGGGACCCGGCGGCCAACACCAACACCACCACCACGGTCACCACTCCCACCACTACCACTACCACGCGGCAACCGGGCAGGGGGCGATCCAGTTATTCTGTTGTATAGTATTGTACTGTACAGTATAGTATCTTCGATGCTTGACGACGACGACGAAGGGACAGGACGAGTCAACTCTATTTCCCGTTTGCCCCCGATCTTGGAGCTCAGCCTCTGAGCCTCGCTTCCGATCCCGCCTCTTGGACCCCTGGGCCTTGCGATCTTCCTCTTCGCTCTGCTGCTGCTGCTGCTTCTCCAGCGCGTCACCTGTTGATGGTCTTGGCCCCGTCCATCATCGCGACTCTTGCCTTGCTCTCGCTGGCAGTTGCATCGCCGTCGCATCCTGTCGCGACCCCTGGTCCTGGGTTCTGCCCCTCTTGCACGCCTTTGCTCCCCTTGCCACGCCCTGGCTCTGGCTCCTCTTGATCTTCCTTGCCCAGCGCCAGCAATTCGACTTCCTCCGTGACCCAGGGTCGCGTCCCCCTGGTCGCTTGTCCTTCTTCCTGACTTTGCTTTGAGGCTCCATAAAAATTTCTAATTAAAAAACAACATGGCTCAAGACGACCATGGTCAGAGTCACAGTGACTCTCCCAATAACCCTACAATTTCTGCTCCAACATCGACTTCTCCTTCTCTAGCTCCCATAGTTACATCTGTCACCGCTCCTCCAGCTTCCACCACGAGTGCTGGACCTCTTAAGACTGCTGCTGCCGACACGACACTCCCACCCATCACCGAGCTTGCTTCAGTGCCGTTCACGGCTGCGGACCGCCCGACCGCCTCGACGACCGTTCCAGTTCCCACCTCTACACCCGCCGCATCCTCCGAATCCGAACCCTTCGCCGTCTCTTCTTCCGTGCCGACTCTCACGCCAGCCTCGGCTCCTGCTGCTTCTGCCGCTCCGCCCGCGGTTCCTCAGCAGAACGGCGACAGCAGGGCCCCCGAGGCTGCTTCGACACCCACGTCCAATTCGGAAATGTCCAACCAGCATCCAGGACTACCTCATGGTCAGCATGTGAGCTACCCGGGCTCCTCGACGCCTTATGCGTCCTCGGCAGGCCCATCAGCCGCCCAATATGCCCCTTATCCTGTAGTCACGAGTCAAGCAACGGAGCCATACAGACCGAGTCCTATGCCTGTTAGCATGTCGCTGCCTAGCATGAGGACGATCGAAAACCCACATGGGCCTCCGGTGTCGAATCCGCAGGGCATGCCAATGAACATGCATATGGCGCCCACGTCAGGCGGTGTGCCATTCTATGGCCACCAAGGCATGCCAATGGCAAGCTACGGTCTTCCCGATTCTATGGCTCGTTATGCTATTCCTCACGATCCGCGACTTTTGGGTCACAGGGGACCGAAGAAGGTGTGTTGAAGCTTGGTTAGGGTCTCGTTCCGACAGGCCATAGCTAGCTAAGGGTATGGCAAGATTGAAGCTGACTGTAACCTGTAGGAGATTAAACGTCGGACAAAAACAGGCTGTCTGACTTGCAGAAAACGTCGTATCAAGGTAAGCTATGATTTCGTATTTGTCTCCCCTTGTGCAGCTTGTGGCCTTGGAACGCGAGATGGGACGCGACGAATCAAGAGGATGACTTGGGAAGAAGGCGGGCTTCAGATACGCGTCGTGGGTGGTGAGCTTGAAGCGAGTTATCCAAAACCCTGTGCTGCATCAAGTTTGCAGCTTTTTTGCAGACTTGCTCGTTTGCCAGGAGGCCACAGAAACGAGCAAGACTCACATTCACGTAGCACTCATTGGCCCAGATTCTCCCAAGTAATGCTTGTTTCGCGATCGCCCAAACCCAACCTCACAGCGCTTCAGTAAATGGATTGTCTGGGAGTTGAAGCTCCTCGAGGTTTTGGGAGCTCTACTTAGCTTGTCATTGGTCGCAGCTACCGTGCATCTCCTAGGCAGCTACACAAGCCCCCTCTCTACTTTTTGGTGGAGATAGCACCCCGCCCAACACAGCTCTAACATCTTCTCCCAGTGCGACGAAACACACCCAACTTGCAACAACTGTAAAAAGTCGAAGCGCGAGTGTCTCGGTTACGACCCCATTTTCAGACAACAAGCGGGCGGGCAATCGTCTTCCAATATTCAACCCGCGCCTAGCCAAAGAACCCCTCCCACGGTTCCAAGCTCTGTACCTTCGACTGTCCCTTCGTCGATAGCGCCCAACCCTTCCCTTACTGCTCGACCTACAAACTCATACGGCAGCCAGCCGTCGATGCTCCCAAGCTCGTACGCAACAGCTCACGCGACTACAGCAAGCCCTAACCCGTCCATTACCTCGCTTAGCTACGACTCAAGTTTCTCCAACGTTGCATCTCCTCCTGTCAAATCTGAGTCGACATACGAGTATCCGCCCGCAATCGACCCAGCCCTTCAAGGATTCTCATCAACCTCCAACGCAGAAAGCTCTAGAGCGGTTGAACAAAGGCCTCTTGCTGACAACAACCAACATCTTAGAGGTGGCGCCCCCTACTATTGATTTCACCCTTGTTCGTCGTTTGCTGCGCTGCTGTTGAGAACATCTGCTTACGCGCGTTTCTGACAGCCAACAAAATGAAGATTGATGAAATCATCGATCTCTTGGGCACAGTTCCTCCGCCCCAGAACATTGCCCATACTGAGGGGATTCACAATGAAATCACCAAGGTTTATCATGAAATGTACGCACCTGGGCTTACCTCTTTCTTCGAATCCGGGTGGTACTATTGTACGGAAAATGGATCACCCTCGTTTCCTAGAAGCCAGCGTCTTATCGAATTAATGGCGTCTTTTCTCAAGGCTTTGGAGGCTGTAAAAGTCAATGATCAAACCCAAATGGCTTACTCTGGTATTCTTGAGACGCGCCTTGTGTGGGAGCTTGCGCGAGCAGTATACGAAACTCCCGCTGCAGCTTCCGCTATCAGTACCACAACACTGCCGCGCGATGGTGATGCGAAGGAGACCCAAAACCGTGTCCGAGTTGTTGAGGCACTTTTGTGCGGAGATCATCTATCAGTCAACCCACTCTGCCCACCAATTCAAGACCCTGACAGTTATCGAACCCGACAATTTGATTTCTGGTACAGCCTAGCTGAGTTCGTGCGTACGCGGGAGGATCCCAATGGTCCGTCTGCGGCCAAGTCTAGGGAGGAAATGCTTTCGAGAATGCGCTATCTTCTCGATGGTCGTGAGAACCGCGATGTTCTCTACTCGATTGCAGTTGTTCGAGAACTGGCTCCCCACTTCGATTCTCCTTACGGCAACGCTGCTCCTCAGCACGCCGACGAGAGTGACCCCAAGAACAGACTCTCAGTTGCATCCAAGTTCATTTACGATGAGTCTCAGGTCACAGGTGGAACAACCAACGTCGTACGACGTCTATGCGACATTGCACATAGAGCTTTCGTCAATCCAGGTGTCAATATTGCTCGGAGATCTTGATCTCATTTTGTTGGTGTTTTCGGGGTCGGTTTCTAAATTCCATCTTTCACAGTTTGGCTATAGCCATAATTTCCTTTGTCAGTAACACACTATGGCCTTTCGGTCATTCTTCACATTTCCTAACAAAAGCACTGTTCATCACTACAAAGCGGGATGTCGTTCGTTGCATCTTCTGGGGCATGGCGAGGGGTTCATTAAAAGTTTTTTATTGTTCGTTTTGGTCTGTGGCGTTTTCTTCCCAACGGGAACAGTGAGGCATCGTCTTTTTTCTTTATTCCCCCTTTGTTCATAACGGCCTACATCATTCGATCTTGGTCGCGGCGTTTGCAAAAAACAATGGCCCCTATGGTCTAAACGTATACCTTAATGCTCCTGCGGCTCGGCAGTGAGGGAGAAGAAGATATATAGATTTCGGCATCAAGGGATCGGTAGAGACCTGACACGGAGTGGATTATAAAGGGAACAAAGGATACCAATAAGCTAGCGTGGGGCTTCCATAGTGGCATACTCTGTTTGCCCGGTTTGAGTTTCGATATAAGGCATTTAACTTGGCGAGCCGAGGGCATAAAGCTCAGCTTGATTGATCTTGGTGAAGGGTGACCACATAAGGACCCTTTTCTGTCTGGCTAGCTACTCATCAACATGGGCCTCATTGCCTTGTTTATGTAGGAGAAATCATAGCGCTTAGCATATAATAATGGTTACAATAATTATATATTACTTATCATAACAATCAGTAGGTGCTGATTATACTGAGTGATCATTGAAGCTGTCATTGGAAGTATGAGAGAGAGCCTTGAGACGGTTCTTTTCTATATTCTATATAACTTTATTCGTCTGCAGCTCTACTGGGTCGCTATGCATACCACCTAGCAGGCTTGTTATCGTCGTTGCATGTTGAAGGCCAAGAATTATCGATTTTGAGTAGGAATATACCTAATTGACACACTTAAAACTTAAAACTTAAAACTTAAGGCTTACTCTTGGTATCTTGAATAGAGTGTAATAATCCGGGTGTCTTGCCATCGTTCGATTATACCTATTTCTATTTGTGGACTTATCGTAACCTCCACTTATTGGCGGCATGTAACTGCCTGTAAGACACTAGCTGCGTGAAGGAACCTTTGTAAATCGGCGAAGACGGCAATGAAAGCCCCTTTTCGAGGCATCGCCGTCGTGAGTCACTGAGGTTGTCATATCGGCAGGTATGATTCAAATAAGCTGGACTCCTCACTTTAAGTCTAAATAGATAGATGAATTAAGCCCAACTTACACTACTTCTGACTTACTCTTTTTGTTCGACTCATCACAAACACTTGCACTTATAAGAACACACCACTCGAGCAAACCAACTTGCTATTAACTTTAAGTAACATTCACCATGGCTAGCACAAGAAAGTTAACGGCAACTTCCTCAACCTGCGAGGAGCAGGGAGCAAAAATACTTGAAACGGAACGTCTTATCCTCCGTCGATTCTATCCTTCCGACGCAGAAGTCATGGCTAAAGCCGCTGACAATAAGTCTGTCTCTATGAACATGCGCGATGGTTTCCCCTCCCCTTACACACTGGCCGATGCAGAGTACTTTATCAACAACGTGGCCAACAACTTTGACGGCGCTGGTCAACACTGCGGTATCTTTGTCAAGGCCAACACAACAGAGAACCCTTCATCGGAACCAGTTTTCGCAGGCGCCATAGGCATGATGGCTAAGAACGACGTATATTTCCGCACATGGGAGTTGGGCTACTGGTTAGCTGAGACAGCTTGGGGCAAAGGCTATGCAACTGAAGCTGTCAAGGCGCTCATACGATGGTGTTTCGAAACATGGCCTGAATTGAACAGGATTGAAGCGTGCGCGAATGGGCACAACAAAGCAAGCCAGAATGTGCTGAGGAAATCTGGGCTCATTGAAGAGGGCACCAGGAGAGGCGCTGTTTGCAAGAATGGAGAAATATTAGACGAAGTTTTATTTGGTCTGTTGAGAAGTGAACTACAGATGAATGGGGAGTAAAGGAAGATACAAATCTGACACTGGAGAGTTTATACCTATAATACGGAGTGGTTAACATTGTCTTCCACTCCAAGGTCCGCCTTGAACGTGATAGGGTAATGCCCAACAGAAATTTTTATAGACTTATAATGCATACCCTTAGGCAGTATATAGGAGTATGGATTGTCCTTATATCTGTTTCTCTCACTCACCCAGTTTGAGGCGCCGCTGATTCTTGCGCGTTTTCGCGATACGTAATTACCTTGATCACGGGCAGACCTTCGCTTCTTCTGAGCCTAAGGTTCGAAGATGTTTGCTAGTGGATAAGTATCTCCATTGGTGATACTGTCAAGGACAGATGGGTTAATTGTGGTCACAAAGTCTTCGAGATGTAGCTCATCGCTAGCTGTATCTTCATCTTCTGACATCTGTGTTAAGGCACGAAGAGCAGTTCCTGGGTCAGGCCACACAGCTGTTCTATCGCAGGTACTTTCCGTGGTGCCCGGCACGTCATCCGTGCCAGGATGAGGCTGATCGCTAGGAAGTACTGTTTCTTTGTCAACCTGTATCCTGATGGTAGCCCATGTGCCTTATCCCACATGATAAGACTTCCATGGTGTATTGGGAATACCCTGCAGATTAGTGCTTCTAGATTATTTCTTCGGCACATATCAAGCAGTTTGCCAGATTTCCCGTCCCCTTGCGGAAATGACCATAACTTGAGGAAGTTTGCACAGCGGGAACCATTCCCTAGCTATCAGAATAGTGACGACAGGAATTATGCCCCGGCAGCGTCGACAATCACGGCGCAAGGCTGAGAACTATAGATGTGGGTCTCCCGCTCTCTCCATAATCTCCCCCGTGCGCCGGAGTTTTTCTGAACGACAGAAAAACATCACCAGAACAGCAAAATATTAATTATTCGATCTTGAAAGAAGAAAACAAGAAAAAAAATTAAATGACAGCCCGAGCACGGGGTCGAACCGTGAATCTTCTGATGTTCTTCTAATCTTAGAAGTCAGACGCCTTAGCCATTAGGCCACAAGGGCTTACTTGAAGCTTTGGTTAGGCAGTACCCTTGCAATTACGATACAAGTAGGTACTTACACACCAACTCAGCATCGATACACTTTTTCTTTTAACAGCTCACCATGCCTCCCGCAAAATCTTCCCGCAATCACCAAGATTATGCGACGAGCACCTTGTGGTTAACATGCACATATTGCTGGATATGCCACCAAGCTTACTCAGTCTTCGCCTCGCAGTTAAGATCAAAATGCCTTGTATTAGTATTCCCACTTATTCAAAACTCTTAGCTGTGGCGATTCAAGAACTCCTCGTCTTGAGCCTAAAGAATAGATGACTCTTCTTCCATTACAGCAACTCGGCCGAGTGATGTGATGCAATTGACGACAGATGTTGCTCGCGTAGTAGAAAAATCAACGAGTAATGGTTGATATCTGATTGGCTAGTCTCCCCGCAAGAATAATAGTCCGACCCACCACCAAGAGCAAAGCTCCCAGGTTTCGACACAGATCCCCGGACCGCGGGAGATGACGGCCACTATCACGAAGGCGAATTCCCCCCATCAACCTGCCATTGACCTCGAGCCAGAGGCCCTCTCGGGAGACTCTACACATCTCGTCTCACTATCGGCCGTTCCCTCTCTGCTCCTCACACAATGGCTTCCCTCCGACTCGCCAGCCGAGGCGCCAAGAGCCTGTGCATGCGGCCAGCAACATTCGCTGCCCGCCCTTTCTCGACGACCTGCCTGCGAAAGTACGCCGCCGCTGTCGAGCCCGTCGGCACCAGACTTGTCCCTGTTGACGAAGACTTCTCATCCGCCCAAGATGCCTATGGCCTCTCCAAGCCCCGAAAAGCCGGTACCCGAAAGTCGCGCGAGAACTCCGTCCAGGACCGAAAGGTTCGACACTATACCGTCAACTTTGGTCCTCAGCATCCCGCTGCCCACGGTGTGTTGCGTTTGATTCTCGAGCTCAATGGTGAAGAGATCGTCCGAGCCGACCCCCACGTCGGTCTGCTGCACCGAGGTACTGAAAAGTTGATCGAGTACAAGACATATCTCCAGGCTCTGCCTTACTTTGACCGACTTGACTATGTCTCTATGATGACCAACGAGCAGTGCTTCTCTCTTGCTGTTGAGAAGCTTCTCAACGTTGAAATACCTGAGCGAGCCAAGTTTATCCGAACTCTGTTTGGCGAGATCACCCGTATTCTTAACCATCTGATGTCCGTTCTCTCACACGCTATGGATGTTGGCGCTTTGACACCCTTCCTGTGGGGTTTCGAAGAGCGTGAGAAGCTCATGGTAGGTAGATGATGAGCAGTTGGAGAGAACCAGCAATTGACGTGTTTCAGGAATTCTACGAGCGTGTTTCTGGCGCCCGTCTCCACGCTGCCTACGTTCGACCCGGTGGTGTTCATCAGGATATTCCCGTTGGACTTCTCGACGATATTTACCAGTGGGCTACCCAATTCGGCGACCGAATCGACGAGACCGAGGAGATGTTGACTGATAACCGTATCTGGATCGAGCGATTGAGGGGTGTCGGTGTTGTTCCCGCCACTGAGGCCCTGAACCTTTCCTTCACTGGTGTTATGCTTCGAGGTTCTGGTGTTCCTTTCGATATCCGAAAGAACCAGCCCTATGACGCCTACGACCAGGTCGAGTTCGACGTTCCTGTCGGAACTAATGGTGACTGCTACGACCGATACCTCTGCCGAATGGAGGAGTTCCGACAGTCTCTTCGCATTATCCACCAGTGCCTCAACAAGATGCCCGCAGGTCCCGTCCGTGTTGAGGATTACAAGGTCTCTCCTCCTCCTCGATCCGCCATGAAGGAGAACATGGAGGCTCTTATTCACCACTTCTTGCTCTACACCAAGGGCTACGCTGTTCCTCCTGGTGAGACCTACTCTGCCATTGAGGCCCCCAAGGGTGAGATGGGTGTGTACGTCGTTTCTGATGGTAGTGAGCGACCATACCGATGCCACATTCGCGCTCCTGGTTTTGCCCACTTGGGTGGCTTCGATCACGTCTCCAAGGGTCACTTGCTTGCTGATGCTGTGGCGGTTATTGGTACTATGGATCTAGTGTTCGGTAAGTTTGCTTGCTTTTTGCTATTGACGAAATCATGCTAACATCATCATAGGTGAGGTCGACAGGTAAAGCATTTTCGAAAAGAAAGAAGATTAGAATGGGTTTCTTTTGTTTGTAATCATAGCTGATAGGGGGACCACGGTAAATACTCCCAAACGTCGTGTGCTCGAGCGAGAAGCTATGTAGAGGTGACGCGTGTTCTGAAATAGCAATGAATCATCTTAGTTCCATTATTTTTGGGTGTGATTATGTACAGTTCTAATGTTACAAGACAAGAGTACATGGTTTGAGAGTTTGGTTGGCCAGAATTCTACAGAAGCTTGGTACCAGTACCAGAAGCCTGCTCCATGAAGAATTTCTTCAGGGGGCCCAGAGCATTGACAGTCCGAAGACCAACTGAACGAAGCGGCACAAGAGGGCCACTCTCAACAGAGTAGAGCTTATGAAGCTTATCGCAAACGTTAAGAATCACGTGGTTGGCCGCATAGCGCTCGCTGTTGTAAGACTCGAGAGAGAGCTGAGTGCCAAGGTCCTGGCCGTGAGAGACAGCATACTCAATGGTTTTAGCTAGGCTCTGGGCATCTCCCTGACCTTGATTCAAGCCTTGACCAGCCAAGGGGTGAATAGTGTGCGCCGCATCGCCGACAAGTGCGACACGTTCGCCAGTGTATGTATCGGCATGGCGCAGCTTCAGGGGGAAAGATGCGATGCTGCCCTCCTGAACTCCAACAACAGTCTGTGGAAGCGACTCCGCATCAACATGTGTATGCTGCAAGCGCCATGACAGCTCCTCTGCCTGGTCAATCTCCTGCGTGTGCATAAACCCAATGTCGACAGGACTCAAACGGAAAGCGGCGTTGACCATGGCGATGAAGTGCTTGGGACTCAGACTCTTGAGTAAGGCGGCCTTCTCAGGTGTAGTAGACCAGACCAGCGTAGCGTATTTGCCAGGCATAGGAAGCATTGCAACCGGACCCGTAGGTAAGAATCGCTGGTACGCAATTTTGTTGAATAGGCCGCCCCAGCCCTCGCCTTCAAGCTCGAGAGTTGCGACAACACCATGTCTACCATAGTCCCATCCGCGGCTGTTGATACCAGCGAATTTGCGCACTGGACTGTTTGCTCCGTCCGCACCAACAAGAAGTCGCGCTGCCAGTGACTGGCCACTCGAGAGCTGCACAACTGGCCATTCGCTCAGGTCCAATTCTTCAGTCTCCTTGCCCAGGTCAATGCTCTCCACTTTCGTATTGTCGAAGAAGTCCACTCCGCCGAGTTCTTGTAACCTCTTGAGCAGACCGGATGTCAAGTTCAGGTTTTCAGCCATGTAGGCAATTGTCTTATCTCCAGTCGTACTGGGTGGCCAGTCGAACTCTATCCGGGCACCTGTCACTCCATCCCAAACCTGCATCTCCTGGTAGTCCTGGACACGCTCACGCTGTAAATGTCGCCATGCGCCGATTTTGTCGAGATATTGAGCCGATGCAGGGGTGAGAGAACTACATCGGTTGGAGAATTGGGTCAACGGAAGTGAGAACGACTTGGTTTTGGAAAGGTCCTGGGCTTCGATTAGGGCGACTCGGAGACCAGCGGTTATAGGATTAGCCCCTAATATTTGTGTGAGTTATTTACTGATTAAACGAGGAAGAAAAACTCACGAAGAGCTGTCAGTAAGCTCAGACCTGCTGGTCCACCACCAACACATACAACATCATAGATATTGTCCTGAGTGGAAGTGGAAGCTCGCCGCAGCTGATAGTGATATTGTCGTACACAGCTCCGACAGACGAAGCCGGGCTTACCCAGCACAGACTTTCGAGCCAGCATTAGTATTTGATGCCAATTGAATCCCTAGATCCGAAGAGCTAAGCACAACTCTTTTTCAAAGCATGACTTGGAGCTCCAAATCTTCAGCAAATCGTCCCTCAATCGTTCGATAGCTCGCGGGACAAAAGTGGCTCTCAGTGTGGCTGATGATATCTGTGGCGACGCGACCCTTACATGGTGGTGATCCAGCGGGTCCAGTGACAGGGGAGTACCTCTGTACCACAGGCTTGATTTGAGTTGCCACAGACAACCGCGCTACTCAATTTATCATTGCGTCAAGGGTCTCACCCGCGCCCGTCATCAACAATTCGCCTGTCAACCCAGAGACCAAGCCCTTTCACACGATCCATTCCCCCACTGCGACTAAATTTTGCTGTCTTTTGCAGTTTGTTCTTGTGAAGGTGAAATTTCATCGATTTTTTGTCTCCCCCATCACGAAAGGCGTAACACAAGATCAGGAGTGGTTGCGTGGCCCTTCTTTGTTGATCTACTCCTACATACACCAAGCTCAAGCTTAAGGCATAGGCGGTCTCATAGCTGCGGCCTGAACACCATCCCGCATCATCATCCTCGTTTATGCTCTCAAACTCTTTTCGCTTATCGCGCCCTTCCTTGATCTAGACTGCCGCCATGGCCGACATGGAGGACTACCTCGAAGAAGGTTTTGACCCACGTTCGGTCACCATCCCGCGTCTGCGATCGATTCTCGTCACGCATAATGTTGAGTACCCCGCTACTGCCAAAAAGGCCCAGCTCGTCGAGCTGGTTGAAGATCATGTACTTGCTCAGGCGCCAAAGCTGCGGGCTCAGCGCGCGCGAGCCAAGAGATCAAGCATGGGAATCGTGAATGCCGGCAGTCCGGAAGATAACGGTACTTGGGATGACTACGATCTCCCACCTCCGTCAACTACCAAGAGACGATCGAAGTCTCCTCGAAAGTCGTCGGCGCGTGTTAAGGCTGAGGATGATGTCCTGGCAACTCCCGTACCTAGGAGTCCTACCAAACGCAGCACACGCTCAGTAAGCCGTGCGCTTTCTCACGCTGACGACTACAACAATTACGACGCCCCTCGTTCCATTCGCCAACCGAGGAGAACAGTCACACCACAGATCAAAGACGAACCAGAAGAAGAGGAGACAATTCTGCCCGACCACGAAGAAAGTGTGTTCACTCACGATAACCCTTTTCAGAGTGGCAGTTCGCCTGCTCAACATAAAACTCCCACCAATCGCCGCCGTACAACTGCCGGCGACTCCATCAGAAGTGTCAAATCGTCGTCCCGGCGCAGGACAGATGGCTACAATGACGATTATGAAGAAGATATTGAGCCTACTCCCAGATACCGTGAGTCAACTCCGGATTTACTTGAACCTGGTGAGGAGTTCACCCCCAACGAGCAATTAGAGTTAGAGCAAGCTGCAAGTCGGGGTGAAATGGAGATTGAGCCGCGCAAGCCTTCTCATCAGGTTTCTCGAAGAGGTAGTTTTAAGGCGCCTCTCTTTGTCCTCTTGATGTCTCTTTTCGGAGCTTACCTTGCGTGGTATCGTCAAGAGAAAATTGCGGTCGGCTATTGCGAAGTCGGTGGTCAAGCAAAGTCACTTATTTCACCAGACGTTCCTATTCCTGACGCTCTCCTTCCTTTCATTGAACCTCAGTGCGAACCTTGCCCTTCGCACGCTTACTGTTACGAGGACTTTTCGGTTCGTTGCGAGAATGGATTCATTCTCAAGCCGCACCCATTGTCCCTCGGTGGGCTAGTGCCCGTTCCACCTACTTGTGAGCCCGATGGCGAGAAAGCGCGTCGCGTCAAGGCTGTAGCTGATAGAGCTATCGAAGAACTCAGGGAGCGCCGAGCTCAGTATGAGTGTGGAGAGCTTGTTACTGAGGATGGAAAGAAAGAGGATTCTCCTGCCATGGCTGAACACGAACTCAAGGCGACCGTGAGTCGCAAGAGGTCCAAGAGACTCAATGAGGATGAGTTTGATGAACTTTGGGCTGCCGCCATTGGCGAGGTTGCAGCTAGAGATGAGGTCGAGATCATTGAAACAGCACCGTAAGTTCTTTCTCTCTCTACAGCCCAGGACCTTCATACGCGATCTGGCGATAATCTCATTGCTCCAACTGTTTCTGACCATTGACTAACCAGATCCACCATTGACCCTACAGATCGTCCAATTCCTCCGATCTTTCAGACCGATGGCTATCGTCCTCGTCTCTCGCTCGCCTTTCGTTCACCTGCACGTTCAAACGATCAATCCGACTCGGCCTGGCAAGATATCGATTCCCAGCTGGACTTTTGATCGCTTTAATCCTTGTTATTTTTTATTTGCGAGCCCGATATCGGAAGCATGTAGCTACAACTGCTCAAATTCCTGCTCTCGTCGACCTAGTACTGGGTAGACTCGCGAACCAAAAAGAACTAGGTGAAGAAGGCATCGATGATCCTTGGCTGTTTTTACCGAACCTGAGAGATGACGTACTCCGAGCTATTCACTCATTGTCCGAGCGAGAACGCATCTGGCAGCGGGTTCGGGCTGTTGTAGAACAAAACAGCAACGTTCGAACCAGTCAACGCGAAGGAAGAAGCGGCGAAGTAGGTCGCGCTTGGGAGTGGATTGGCCCTGTTGCGGGTGACGGTGCGAGGAGGCGACGGAGTGGCCGGGTATCACTCGGTCCTGACTCACAGTTAGAGTCACCAGAGCCAACAAAGGCAACCCCTGAAGTAAAGAAGTGGGAGGACTCGAGACCGATCTACTAATATTCACGCTCAATATTTCTTGTCAAGTTTCCTGCTTTACACATTTCTTAATCACTATTTCCCAAATGTTTGACGAAAAGGGGTGGTTTTCTTGGACAACGATATTGAGAAGCATAGAGCATATGCCTTTGGAATTGGCGTTGGAGGTTGCTAGTCTTTTCCATGTATGATTATCCATGTCTAGATGCACGATAGTTTCAGAACAACTACATATTCATCGAAGAGCCTGAAGTAGCGATGAAGCATCATGCCCAAATGAACCGAATTGCGAGAGACCGCAACAGTGTACGGCGAGCACTTGTTGAAATCATTCAACAGGAAAGACGAAGTCGTTGTGTTGAAATGTTTTGGTTTGGACATTTGCTATACGCCGAGAATAGGCGACATCGGAGATCCCGACCTTTCCCGACGAGCAATTTACAAGCTCCGACAAACCCAATTGAACATAATCGACCCAAAAATTCCCAAGATCTCACGAGTAACAGCTTTCTGACAATGAAGTAACTAGGTTCTTGATTGATTCGGCTAATGCACAGGTGTTGTTATGACACAAAAGGGGTACAAAGAAAAACCGTGGAATCTAGGGATCGAGACTCTAGCGGCGGTGTTTAATTATCTATTGGGCCTTGGAGG